TGGGTACTCAGTAAGGGCCTGTGGAGAAACTACTCCACGTCCAGGCCCATGTGGACTTCTCTGTCTCCTCCATCACTATACTTTAAAAACAAACAAACAAAATCACAGGAAAAGAGATCAGATTTGCAGTTAACTGAAGCTGGGGATAGGGGAAGGGGAAATTGGATGACTGCAATCAAAAGATGCAAACTTCCAGTTATAATAAGTACTAGGCATGTAATGTACAATGTAATAAATATAATTAACACTGCCTTATGGTATATATGAACATTGTTGAGAGTAAATCCTAAGCGTTCTCCGCACAAAAAAGTATTTCATTTTCTATTTCTTTAATTTTGTATCTATGTGAGAGGATGGACATTCACTAACTTGTGATAATCACTTCGTGATGTGTGTAAATCAAAGCACGATGCTGTATGCCTTAAGCTTACACAATGTCGCACATCAACTACATCTCAATAAAGCTGTAAGGAAAGAAATCTTCATCAAAGTTCAGGATATCCTCAAAATTTACAATGTGATCTATTTCTTTACCTCCGCATAAGCTTTGGCCCATGTACCTGCCAGCTGACGTAAATCTATTTCACCTGCCTTCACAGCTTCCAGGGCTGCTTCAGCATCTCTGTCATAATCTTTGAGGGATTCTTCTTCGATAAACTGGCTCAGAGCTTCTTTTAAGTCTGTAACAGGGGCAACAAATACCATTGTCAGTACACATAAATAGGGAACATTTTACCTGGCTAAGCATTCCAATGTCAAACTTTATTTTATCAAGCTTAACAGAATGTCTAACTAAAACAGTGTCTTAACAGAATGAGACAATGAGAATACCCTTAACCCTTAAGAGAATGTCTAACTAAAATAAAATCAGCTTAGGGGATCATTTAACTAATCTCACAATTATTCTTCTTTACAATCACAGGTTATTGAATGGTCAAAATTCTTAACTCTGATATACAACCCTGATACTAATTTAAAATGTTGGGACTTCCCTGGCCGTCCAGTGGTTAAGACTTCGCCTTCCAATGCAGGGGGTGTGGGTTCAATCCCTGGTCGGGGAGCTAAGATCCCACATGCCTCACAGGCAAAAAACCAAAACATAAAACAGAAGCAACATTGTAACAAATTCAATAAGACTTTAAAAATGGTCCACATCAAAAAAAATCTTAAAAAAAATTAAAAATGTTAATTTCTTAAGCCTGATTCTTTATCTGAAACTGAGTAGGGAAAAGCACATAAAGACCTCCTACAGATTTAGAGTGGCTAAAGGTTTCTGTATTTAAATGAGTTTCCTATTTAACTTTCAAGGGTATATATTGTTACAGTCTTTGAATCTGAGAGATAAATTGAGTGATTAGCATATTAAAACTGATTTATTTCAGATGATCTACAACTCCAACTTTAGAGACACTATTCAGAGACTGCTTTGAGGATATAAGAAGACCATGGCTTTCATCTTGGGCACTTGCTCCCTCACTTTCTTAGGTTGCTGGCCCTGGTAGAGGCCAGCTGCAGGTCCTGAGGTGACCCTATGAAGAGGCCCACATGACAAGGCTTGACAACAACCTCACAAGGGATCTTGGAAACAATCCTCTGTCAGTAGAGCCTTCAGATGAGACTGTAGCCCTGACTGATGGTTTGGCTGCAACCCCATGAGAAACCCTGAGCCAGAGGCACCCGGCTAGGTTGCACCTGCATCCCTGAACGACAGTAACGGTAAGCACAAGATAATACATATTTGTTGCTTTATGCCGCTTTAAAAAAAAAAAAAAGACTGATTGAAGAGCACTGGCATAGAAACCAGGATACCTGGGTTCTGGTCTTGGCTCTGTCATTATATAACTTTGGACCAGAGGTTCTCAGTCGTTAAGATGCATCAGAGTTCCCTGAAGAGCTTACTGGAATAGACTGCTGCATGCACTCCCAGAGTTCCTGATTCAAAGGGAATTGGGTGGAGCCTGCCCAATAATCCACATTTCTAACAAGTTCCCAAGTGATACTGTAGCTGCTAATCAGGGAACAATTTTTGAGAATCATTGCATTGGGCAAATAATTTAACCTTTCTAGGTACCAATTTCCTTATTTGTACAATGAGATTGTGCTGGAAAGTTTCTACGTTCCCTTGTAACTTTGACCTTCTATGATCCAACATATTCTCAATTAAAACATTTTCCCTCATCTGTAGACAGAACACAGACCTTTTAACATGGTTTAATACAGACTTTATTGATGACTTTATGGAATTAATTTAGCTGAGCAAAGATTATTGAAAGACAGGTACCCCTTCTCTCCCATGACATCTCAGGAATTGAGGACCGGATCATTAAAAGGGCAATGCATTTAGCACGTAGCTAGTGATAGCTGACATGCCTTATGAATCCATCCAACTACATTAAGAGGTTAAGAGTTCTAATCCAGACTCTGTAATTTTTCATATTTAATTTTAATTTAATTTTTATACTAAAATGCCTAATAAACAATTACAAGGGATACAGAAAAAAAACACTCCATAAAACAAAGGTCTGGGGAACCTTTTTATTCTTGAAAGCTTCACATTTTGTGGTTGTTTCCAATGCTTCTTAGGTTTATGTTTTCTAATATAAAACTTCTGAAGACAGAGACTATAGGAAAATAACAAAGCGATATTTTAAAAGAAATCAATCCTCACCTTTTTCTATAAAGCATGGTAAATTGTGCAGCAGCATCAGACGGCCATGTAAATGACTGGCATTCTCTTGAACAGGAAATTTGAGAGGCACCCTCAGTTCTAAGCACTGACTTCCCACTTTGAATTCATACACAAATTCCCTCTCTCTGTTGCAGAATCTTTCTCTGTTTTTCTTCATCTCCTTTGGCAGGATTTCTATAGCACTAACAACAAAAACAAAACTCAGCGGGTTATAAGTCCATTTAAAAAAACCATGATGTTTCATTATTGCTGTTCCACTTCTAAGATGTTCCCCCACTCACAGGTTTTATTTGTGTGACTCTGAGCTGATTATTCTATTTCCCTACGTTTATCCCTGCATTTTCATCTTCATGATGAAAATAAAATGCTTCTTTTTTTAAGGAAAAGGTCCTTCTAAACTTCATTTAAGAAAAAAATTATGCCCACAAAATACTTAGCATTCCTAGGCAGAGTTCTCAGGAACAGGTAAGGATCATGGAGAGAAGAACAGAGAAGAGAGGATTCTTAGAAACAGACGCATGGTGAGTGGATACAGTTCGTGAAACAGCTGGTGAATACAAAGTCAAAGAAACAGATCAGGGACCAACAATTCAACTTGAAGAGCTCAGAGGTGGTGGGGATGAGATCTGATTGGGGGTGGAGAGAAGGGAGATGGTGCCGGAAAGATTTCCATTAAGGAAAAAGATAAACAGAAAGTGGAAAGTACAGGACAGCCCACAAGGCAAAGTGGACACTATTCATAAAGAAGAAAATCTAGTCAAAAAGAATACATCAACTGAAGATTTACTTATTAGCCTAACTGGACTCCTGTCCCCAGGCATTTCCCCGTCAAATCAGTTCTCACACTATTCTCTACACTGAAGTCACAGTAATCGTTTCCAAGTGCATATCTGACCATGTTGCTCATCTGCTTAAAATTCTTCTATGACATTCTTTGTACGACTCAGGATACAGTACAAACTCGTTAACGGAGCTTACCACGCCCCTGCTTATACCTCCAGACTCTTATGTCAGCACCTGTACCCCGTCCTCTCCAACACACAAATCCACAAACTTTATTTTCCAGCCATACTAAACTTCTTTCAACACCAAACCTCTCTTTCCACTCCCAACCTTTCTGAATGTTTTTCCTTTGCCTAGCACACGCTTACTGCTCTTCTTTCCTTGGCCACATCTCAGCCGAGATAGGCCCCAGGAAACCTTTTAACTTGTAGGACTGTCATTAGGCTTAATCAAATAATAAATACGAAACATCCAACAAACATAAGATGACCAATAAATGGAAGCTGGTAAAAATAATAAACAATAACAGGAAGCTCTATAAGAACATATCAGTTAAAAAAATCAAAGGCTGCTAAATGAGCACACATGATGCAGGCAAAGGCAGTAAAAACAACATTTTGCAGGGAACTGAAAATTACGGAAATAGGGGCTCATGGTCTCATCTTGTTTCGAGTCATAATTTTCGGCAAACAAAAACCATTAGCTCTGGTTTCAGCTGGTTCAACCTTTAGCCTTATTGTGTTTCAACAAACTGATACTTTAGCTCTCTCTCCCCGATCTGTTATTAACAGCAGGTCTGAAATCAAGCAAGGTTTCCGTACAATTATGGGATACGAGGAGGACAGCTAAACCGAACTCAGGCAGCCCGTGGAGGTTCTGAGGCTTAAATGAGTCAGGGAAGGGAGGGCAGACAAAGGGCCGAGAAGCCACGGCCGAGTGAGGGGAACAGCCCCCGGTTAGAGGGTTTCGGTCTGAGGGAGCTTCCTCGCTCCGGTCGCGGTCTCACCTCCCCTTGTTCCGAGTCTCCGGCTGTCGCCACACCCGGCGCTGTCAACCAGCCGCGACGCAGGAACCGTCAGCTGCCTGCCGCCTTTGTTTTTACAGCCGGAAGATCAGCTCCGGCAGATTCGTCCGCATCTTTTCCTCTTTCCCGGCACCCCCTGGAAAATTCCTCGGTCTAAGTGTCCCTTTGTTCCATAATACCTGAGTTGAATCATTTAAAAAGTGTAAGAAGGTGTATTTCTACTGTTATTGTCCATTTCAGAGACGGCACAGAAGTGACGAAAGTGCAGCGGCGAAGCACCGGCTCGGCTCTGACAGACCGGATGCGGAAGGGCGGTGCTTGAAGGAGGCGGGAACTAACGCGCTTCTCAGAGCGCATGCGCGCCCGCGGGGATGGCCGGAGAGGATTGGAGGACTGGCGGCGGGGCGGAGAGCTTCGAGTCTGGTTTTGCGCGGGAATTGGAACGGCCGCCGCCGCTGCAGACAGGAAGCTGCGAGCTGCAGGTTTCCAGCCTTGGAGGGGACCATGGTGCGGCCTGCGAGGTGAGTAGTTCATGGCATCCGGCGAGGATGGGGAGGAAGGGCAGGAGGACGCTGTAGGCCGCGTCACCTTCATGGGATGGAGGGAAGGGCCCGAGGACCAGGGTAGCGATGGTGGGACCGACAGCTAAACGCTCTAGACTCCAGGGAGAGCTGCCGCTCCTCGGAAAGGTCGTAGCATCCAAGCTGTTTCCTTCTCTTGGCTCCTTTGACAGTTACTGCCGTTTCTTTTACCCACCCCCTTCAAATAAGGCCTGTTTACAGCGTTTTGCATTTCACCAAGCTTCTGCTTACGTGTTATTTCATTTGTTCGTCCGTATACTTCTTTGAGATAGAAGGTTTGGATCTCCCTATTTTATCAATTTAAACTTCGGGGCACGAAAGCCAGTTTAGCTGAGTCACACAGCTAGTAAGTTACAGGATAACACGCAAACCTAAGCCAGCTGGCGCCAGATCCTCTGTGTTTTCCATTAAATGTACTGTTTGAAACTCTTCCTCCAGTTAACCTCAGTTGAGCACCATGGAGGCCTAGGGTCAGCCGTTCATTTAGCAGGGTTTTGAATATATTTACTTTTGTGCTGGAGGTATATATTTACTAGATATATATATTTACTAGGTGCTGGAGGTTGCAGTCTAGTCAAGGGATGAAGTTAGGAGACGGAAAATAAACATGGCAATGTGAGAGAGAGTGAGAAGGAGGAAAGCCTTCCATTGAAGTATAATTATTTGTAATGTGTATCTGGTGTACAGCAAAGTGATTTAGTTTTATATATACATATATATACTTTTTCATATTTTTTTCCATTCTGGTTTATTACAGGATGTTGAATATAGCTCCCTGTGCTATACAGTAGTTCCTTGTTGTGTATGTATTTTATTTATAGTAGTTTGTACCTGCTGATCCCAAACTCTTAATTTATCCTTCCCCATCCCCTTTCCCCTTTAGTAACCATGTTTGTTTTCTATGTCTCTGAGTCTGTTTCTGTTTTGTAAATAAGTTCATTTGTATCATATTTTAGATTCCACGTATAAGTGATATCATATGGTTTTTGTCTTTCTTTTTCTGACTTACTTCACTTAGTATCATAATCTCTAGGTCCAGCCATGTTGCTGCAAATGTCATTATTTCATTCTTGTTGATGGCTGAGTAATATTCCATTGTATATGTATACCACACTTCTTCATACATACATCTGTCAGTGGACATTTAGGTTGCTTCCATGCCTTGGCTATTGTAAATAGTGTTGCTATGAACATTGGGGTGCATGTATCTTTTCGAATTAGAGTTTTCTCCAGGTATATGCCCAGGAGTGGGATTGCTGGATCATATGGCAACTCTATTTTTAACAAGAATATGCTTGGCTTTAATATCCTGTGTGAGGCGATGATGAGAAGGACGCATAAAGCACGCACATCTATGATGGTGGTCTTAAGAAAAACAACTTGCGAGGTTGTTTGAGTTGTGAGCCTCTTTTTCATAGAATACCACTTCCACTTGAAAGAACAACTGACTGACAAACTGGGTTATTCACACTTGGGTAGTTGGCAGAAGATAAAAATGAAAACTAGAGTTTCATTTAGTGCAGGGGAAGGAGGAAGGAAATTATTTTATTCACTTTGAATATCACTTTCTTCTACTGCCCTCTAAAGGAGTGTAAAATTCATTTTTAGGTGTCAAGTACAAAGACACTCACCATGTTTTAAATGTCCATTGCATAATGAACATTATTTAATATTGTGGGAGATAAAAGAAAATGGCTTTCAGTGTCAAGAAGTTTATAATCTAATAGGGAAGACAATGCATGTATAAAACAAGAATACATACAATAGGAACTTCTAAATGCCCAACAGCAATTAAACACTGTATAAACTTTGAGTGTTAATTATATTGATTATTCTTACTTTATGTGTTATCTAAATTAACTTTCTTCCTTATCAGGTATATCCAGTATAGTTAAACCTTTTTCAGATAATGCTAAATCCTTGCTGTAAAATGTAAATCATGTTTTTAACTTATATATTCTTTTTTTTCTTTTTTCTGCTC